CTGTAGCCTACAGACCAACATTGTACTGTTGCCTAGATGGGCAAGGCTTACACGAACAATGTAAGAAGTGTTCATGAGAATTACTGGTGCTTTGGGAGAGGTGAGAGAGCTTAAAGTGTTTTGAACAGGGACCAGTGCAGTGCTTTGAAACAGTGGGATTATGTATGTAAATGACAGTGACACTGCTTTTTGAGAAATGCAGACACAGTGGAATGGGAATATCTGATACTGCTAGTGCTTGTGGAAAGGTCAGGGGGAAATTTATTGTTGTGATTGATGGTGTTTATGGGTAACTTATGAGGTTTGATTTTTATGTAGGAACAGGATTTTCTCCACAGTGCTGGGGCTGAGCCTATTTCTCTTCTTGCTGACCACTTTGCCAGCCTTAGAAAATACCCGTTCACAGGGCACAGGAGAGGCAGGGGTACACAAATCTGTCCTCAGTGACACCAGTGCAGCACCAACTGGTTCACGCTGTTCATATAGTCTAGACAGCATGTCTTCACCTCAGCAATGTTTGCTGCTGTATGCGAAGCAGCTAATTTTCCTACTCCTAGCAATACTGTAGCAAGCTGTTCTTTACTGTCTATAAAATGGCATGTGACGGTGCCAGCCTTAGAAAATACCCGTTCACAGGGCACAGGAGAGGCAGGGGTACACAAATAGCCCAGGGCCAGCATATATAAATGTGGGTAAATGTGTCTGTGCTGTGACCAAAACTGAAGTGGATTTTCAGAGCGAGGGATGTTGGGTTCACTCAGGTAGCGCTGAACTTCAATGGTGGCATTTGCAGTGGCATTCTTCACCTTTCGTGTTTCCAACACCCGTTGGTCAAGAAGATCCCATAGGCCTGTCCCTGAAATAGTTAGAAAATACACAAGATTTCATATGTAAAATACAACATGACCATGATGAACTTACAGCCATACCCGAGTTATCTGCAGGTGTAGAGGTTTCATGCAGGCTCTGGTATTGGGTCAGATGCTGTTGTTTCCCGAACTTTAGCTGCATATTCAGCTGTCAGCCTTTTGACAGCATTCTGGCCATATATGATGGGTTGCAAAAGCCCATAGTTTTAAAACGGGGATCCAGGATGTGGCACGGGTCATTCGGCTTGATGTCTCATAATGAGTCAACCTTTCAGACATAAGTCTGAAGAGGTTGCAGAGCTGTGCTGCTTTCTCATCAGTCACTCCTAGCTGCTTTGTTGTTATAGCATGCCTCAAAATTCGGATAAAGGGAATGACCTTGGAGCCAGAGACAGTTTTTTCTGCTGAAAGTTCAACAGTTGCCGTTTGGAGACAGTACACCAAAGAACTCTAACATTGTGTGGTACTCAGCTGAGGACAGAGCAGGCAAATCTGTCCTCAGTGACACCAGTGCAGCACCAACTGGTTCACGCTGTTCATATAGTCTAGACAGCATGTCTTCACCTCAGCAATGTTTGCTGCTGTATGCGAAGCAGCTAATTTTCCTACTCCTAGCAATACTGTAGCAAGCTGTTCTTTACTGTCTATAAAATGGCATGTGACGGTTAAATAAGAATCCATATGGATCGATGTCCACATGTCTGATGTTAAGGTCACAGCTGTAGCTCTTAGCACCTCTGCTTTAGCCTTCTCTTTCACCTCTGTAAACTTTGTCTTCACCATTGTCTTCAATGTTTGCCTTGATGGGCTCATGCTTATAACAGTAGCTTGGTGGAGTAGACTCATTTAGACCAATATAATCATTTGGTTTTAGCCAGGTTTCAGTCAAGCAGAGTACATCAAAACTATTATCTGTGATCATTTCATTTACAATAGCTGCTTTGGGTGCGAGTGATCTAATGTTTAGGAGCCCAAACTTTAAAAATTGTTTAGTTTTCTGTTACTTCCTCTACAGTCAAAAATCTGGGTGTTATATTAAATAGCAACTTATCTTCTGAAAATCATATTTCCCATGTTACAAAAACAGCATTCTTCCATCTTAGAAACATTGCCAAGTTACGAAACATGTTACCTGTTTCTGATGAATATTGTAGAAACTTAATTTGCTGTAAAGTTGCTTTGCAATGATTTGTATCGTGAAAAGCGCTGTACAAATAAACTTGAATTGAATTGAATTGATGGGAGAATGTATGTAGGATCTAAAAGGCTGACAAAATTTCTTAAACCAACATCCTCCACAATGATGAAAGGCTGTGAATCTTGGATAATCATGTTCACAAGAGCCTCATCAATCTTGTCCTCTTTGTTTCCTGCAACACACACACACACACACACACACACATATATATATATATAGAGAGAGAGAGAGAGAGAGAGAGAGAGAGAGAGAGAGTGTGCGCTCACATAATAGAAAAAA